AAGCACTTCTCTCCCTTCCTTCCAAGGAAAAGCGCAGTCGTCGATAAGGACCAAGAGGACATGACAGGTTTACCAGATGTAGCTACGATAGCTATAATGTCAGCTCGAGTCGGCAGTATCAGCGACAACCGCCTCGGAGGATGGTACAGCTATCGCGCTTCAAAAGCTGGTGTCAATCAGGTAGTCAAGACCTTCGACAATCATCTGAGGACTGCTTCTGGCGACAACGCGATGGCGGTTGCCTTGCATCCTGGAACTGTCAAAACAGGATTGAGCAAGGACTTCTGGAGCAACGTCAAGAAGGAAAAGCTATTCGAGCGCGACTGGGTCGCAGAAAGACTGATTGATGTGATCAGGGAAGTGGCGCCTGAAGGACGAGGGAGGTGTTGGGACTGGGATGGGAAAGAAGTTCCGCCTTGAGGCACATACAGAACGCAGGCGCAATCCCATTCCGCCTACTATAGGCATCAACAAAGCCACCATCTTTTCTCCCACGCAACTCCATCATCCCGACCCGATCACCGCTTATTCTACCAGTATTACATTGCTTGGCTTTCGTTATCCAACCAGCATACCCCGACCCATCGTTATCATGGCAGCTCTTCCCTTTCCCTACTCGCGAGGCGTATTCAATAGCTCGGACGATGCTTCCGTACCTTCGCACATACATACACATGCCGCAAAGCTACCTCAAGCACTCGCTATTCGGCCCACAGACTCGCAGCAAATCTCGACAACGATCGACTTGACGTATACAAGTCAGCAGCGTACTTCGGACAAGCATGCAAACCATACGTCTGGACCATACAAGATCACGACTGGTACTCTTCGAGGAGGCGCTGGACTGCCAGGAGAACACGATGAGTTCGATCACGACATGCCAGCAGGCGATGACTTCTACGACTCTACTGAGGTCTCTGCCGAAGACCAAGCTTTACCTGGGGGGTCCCCCGGCTCTGTGTCGTCTGGGTATTCTTCTTCTTCCGACTTATCAGCCGCTGCATCTGAGCACTTCCATGAGCAGAACGAACTGCAACGAGCTTCGGATGATGCAGCCTCGACGGCTGGACCATCAGCGCACCCATTCAGCGCAGCCTTCTTGAATAGGCCTTGGCACAACGGTGACTATTTTTCCCCCAGTCCACGTCTCGGTAGTCCATTTCAATTCGAAAATGCGCCGCTCACTGGGTCCCGTAATGCGTCCAGATCACACAGTATGGACATCTTGCCCTACACAGGACCACCCAACGACAGCACAAGCTCAATCCAGCATACTCCGTATGAAGGCCCAAGCGAACGTCGGCCTTTAATCGGAAGCCATGTTCCAAGCGGAATACCGCCTCCCGGATACACGTACGATGGCGGGGAAGAGGATCTGCCTGTGGCACCTCAGCCCCCCGTGGCCCCTCAGCCTCAGGCGGAACCTGAAACCCCCGCAAGGCGACGCCGACGAAACAGAGCGGTTCAGGTTGTCGGATTTGATCGCTGGCGCGCAGGCTTCCGTGCAGGCTTCCGTGCAGGATTGGCGGAGTTTGGCCGGAGTCTGCTCGTTTTGAATAGAGAAAGTGGGAAGGATATACGCAAAAAAGACAAATGATGGACTGGCGTTAAGGGCACTTGTATCGGGAGGTTCTTCTTTAGTGTTATCGGGTATGCATGCAGATAGCTGGTCAGATTGATCAACCAATACACTTCAACGTGTATAGCTATCTTCATGAGGGTGTTAGATGTGCACATGTCTACCAGCCTGCTCGTCGTCTTTGTAAGTTTAACTAGTGGCGCGAGTTCACCTTATACAAGGGAAAAACTAAACACCATAGAGCCTACGTTGACGTTAGGCTACTAACTTTGCATATCTTTACCTTAATGTAGTCTCTAGGGTGTTCAGCTTTTCCTTGCATGAGGCGATCTCGGAGTTGAGCTTCCCCAGAGCGGGGCACCCCGCTCCTGCCTGAACAGAACCTTGGAACGTGCAGTGTACACCATCTAACGGCCCCGCGTACTTGGAACTCAATGTTCCGAACAGCGAGCCTCATCTTGCCAACTTCTTTCCTGGATACTCGATCTCATTCGCATTGTTAAGTGCGATAATGGTGTGTAGCTTCAAGCATGTGATATTTGACGACAGCCAGCTTGCATCCAGCCACGTACCTGCGTTCCACGGAACGCAATGCTGGATTTCTGGAAAGCTTCACAGCATCCGATCACCAGGCACGGAAAAACTTTACGTCAGCGGGCGCATTCGCGAAGATCGACATACATTTCTCCGCAATCTCTATGAAGCCTCGGATCTGGGAAGCTCATTAAGCCCGGTGGCTCTGCAGCTCATCGTATATTCGCGTCACCCTGCATAACGGTTAAAATACGTTGTGTGTTCGATGACAACAGCAATAGCACTGCGGAAGCAGTCTGGCTAAATGGGCACAATTTGGTACGCGAGACGGCCGTCGATCGCGCTTCTCCACAGCAGGCAAGTACCAGCCTCTTGGTCGTAAGGTCGACGGTACGCATAAAGCGTCCCACCTTGCCGCGTAGAGAGTGGACTCTGTCGAGACCCTCTGGAATTCTTCACGATGCGGTTTCTACGAAGCATCGTGACAACTGTCCTCGCATGCGCAGCTCCAGCGCTCGCGCAGAACTCAACGTTCCTCAACCCAGTACTTCCAGGTTGGCACAGCGATCCATCATGCGTCAACGTGAACGGGACGTTCTTCTGCGTAACTTCCACCTTCATATCCTTCCCCGGGCTGCCCATCTACGCATCGAAAGACCTAGTCGACTGGAAACACATCAGCCACGTATGGAACCGTGAATCACAGCTTTTGGGCTATAGTTATTCCAGCGATGGTCAACAAAGAGGCATGTACGCAGCGACTTTGCGATTCCACGAGGGTGTCTTCTACGTCATCTGCGAATATCTCGGATCAGACATGGAGGCAGGTGTCTTGTTCAGGACCACAGATCCTTTCGACGACGCGTCATGGAGCGATCCAGTGACGTTCGAGGCTCCCAAGATCGATCCCGATATTTTCTGGGATGATGACGGCAAAGTGTATGTCGCAACCCAGGGAATCATCGTGCAGGAGATGGACATCGATACTGGCGAAATGGGACCTGTAATTTCGCTCTGGAATGGCACCGGCGGTGTTTGGCCCGAAGGTCCACACTTCTACAAGAAAGACGGATGGTATTATCTGCTGATTGCCGAGGGCGGAACAGCCGAAGACCACTCAGTCACCATGGCTCGCGCCAGAAACATCACGGGCCCTTACTCTCCCAGCCCATACAACCCACATCTGACGAACCGCGGTACATCAGAGTACTTCCAGACCGTTGGTCACGCAGACCTCTTCCAAGATAACAACGGCGCATGGTGGTCTTGCGCGCTCGCGACGCGCGTGGGTCCAAATGGTACATCCTTCCCCATGGGGCGCGAAATGGTACTCACGCCAGTTACGTGGGAGGAAGGCGAGTGGCCCGTATTCCAACCTGTAAGAGGCAAGATGACTGGCTGGCAACTACCTGCGCGCTCAAGAGATGTTCCGGGTGATGGACCCTTCAACTCGGACCCAGATGTTTACGACTTCCCTCAAAACTCGACAATTCCACGCAACCTCGTCTACTGGCGTGTTCCTCGCGAAGGCGCGTTCAAGACTTCGCAAAAGGGTCTGCAAGTCGCTCTTGGTCGCAACAATCTCGCCGGCTCGCCAGGCGGGTCTGACCCAGCTTCAAGGGCTGTGAACTTCATCGGGCGCCGTCAGACGGATAGCACGTTCAAGTTTAGCGTAGATCTATCCTTCGATCCGAAAGCTGATGGTGAAGAAGCTGGTGTGACCGCTTTCCTGTGGCAGACGGCAAACATCCAGCTCGGACTCATGCGCAGTAATGGGTCGACGTATCTGCGTTACAACTCTACGGAACATGAGGAGAAGAAGACGCCTGTGCCCGCATCTTGGTCTGGAAAGCCTATGCGCTTCGAGATCACGATGCCGGATCCAAGGACTTATGTCTTTTCGGCTATGCTAGCGCACGGCAAGTCAAGACCGATCTCGTTTGGTAGAGCTTCAACAGAGCAGCTGAGTCCATCTGGCTCGTTCGTAGGAACGCTGATTGGTGTGTATGCTACTTGCAATGGAGCTGGATCAGGGCTAGATTGCCCAGCTACCACGCCCAATGCATACTTCAGAAGGTGGAGGTACAAGGGTATTAGACAGTACATTTCTGAGACTGAGAGTGTGCGAAGCGAAGACTTCAATAAAGGTAGATAAAACCTTAGTCGAGGTACCAACGAAAGGTGGTGGAAGAGTGTATGAGATTACTTCAAGCGGGAGCTATCGTGAGACGTCTCACACTGTAGACCTAGATAACTCTTTCAAGCAAATGTAAACCAGACCTGGTTATATCGTACTATGCACGGACGTGAGTGCTGAAAAGGTCAGAGGAGTGAGCATTCATTTTTGAATACTCTATTCCCACCATTGTATCAGCTGACAGCAAGGCTGAAGCCATTTCAATGGCCGCATATCCATCATGTTGTCCGCCTTATTCATGCCGTAACATCTCTTGTTTTGCTTACACGCCTTGGGCGAGTGGATAGATGAAGTATCGACCCATACTTCGGTTCCTTCCATTCCATCCGTGGTACTGCGATGACGCAGAGCGAGACGAGCCACTCATGACTCCCGAAATACATAACCACCACATACGCAAAGGTAATCCTTATCGAATAAGAGAGATCGCAATCCTCTGACTCTACGGTCACGCGCTAGTCTCTGCCTTCACTTGCGCTCTCACTCCGACTTCACTCGCGCTCTCGCCCCACCTTTACTTCGCTCTCACCCTGCCTTTACTTCCCACAGCCATATAAATTCTGTCTGCGCTTCTCCTTCTTTCCTTCCTTCCTTCTTCTTTCTTTCTTTACCAAAGACAGTTTTTTCCAAAAACCTACTCTCGCCACTCATCTTCTTTTTCGATAAATCAAAATCACACCTCCGCCCATCATGAGTCTACCGAAGGACATTTTGTCAGAATGGGTCCTGTCCAACGTCAAGAAGTATGATCGCACGCTTGTTGGAGAACCGGTCAACGGTACAAGAAAAATCTCCGGTCAACTCTTGTCACCTCCGGATACTGTGATGGCATCCAGCGCGTCATCCTCCTCTGCCCAAGTTGCACAACCACATCCTGACCTCGAGGTACCACTTCATCTGTACTCCATGCAGGCGTTCGAATTTCTAGGATTCACGTCAAGCGCCGCAGAGTCGCTCCTCGCTACCTGGACCCGTGACGACGAAGCCGACCTCGAAGACGCCATAATCGCTCGCATTGTGAACTTCGGCGGTCATGATTCTGATGACGAGCGGACCAGTATGAGTAAGATCGGAATTTCCGCGGAGTTGCAAGAGAAGGTCATGGACCCTGAGTATGAAGACGTGAGAAGCACCCAGTGGTTGAGTTACTGGATACTGGAGACTGTCTTCGAAAATCTTTGGACTCTCAAGAATTTGAGTGAACGACTCAACCGAAACCTGGCTGTTATTCAGTCCGGTAAGACCCCGTTCGCTTCGCTACGTGGCGGCGCCCCTGATGACAGGTCAAAGTACCACTTGACCCGAGTTGGTCACACAACTCTCTACCGGTCAACGTCAGCAGCACAACTCGAGAGAGTTTTTGGGGAACACTCGCTCAACCTCGACCTGAATTTCCAATTCGGAAGAGGAATCCCTACAGGTGACTTCCACAATGAAAGAAGGGGCTACTGTTGGAGTACTCAAAACTGGGTCTCGGAGCACTTTGCAGCATATACATGCAGCCGCATCAAATCACCAACAGATGTCTGCGTCATCCGGGCTTTGGTACCTACCCATCTCTTACAAGGCCAAGGTGTCTGGACTCTGCCTTTCGGAAACGAGTGGAAAAGATTGGTCTGGTATTCCAGAAGGGAGTTAATTTACCCTGCGAATATCCAAGAGAAGGTTGACAGGTCCACACTTATCATTGGACCGGTCTCGATCAATTTCTCGGAGTTGAAGTCCTGGAAGCAGGCGACTAGAGACAGACACTGCTATACAGTAAAAGGAGAAGTTGCTGAGCAGTACGTCTGGGTTGGAATGGCGTCGATGGCGGCGATGAATGAGCCACTGAAAGAGAAATGGGATCTCTTTAGAGGCAGATGGAAGCTCTGCACCAAAGATCCGTATGCTGACTGCAGTCCTCGCCATATTCCTGAGCCTCAGAAGTGGGCGAGGATGCGATTGTAGGATATGCATTGCTGTGTTGGGATTTAGCGGGGCCATTTCGCATTGAGCAAGGTTGAGGAGGAAGACAGCGCATGAACATGCAATAGCCTCAAAGATGGCGAAGGATCGCCATGATGGCCGTTATGAGGATCACGCCCACCTAGGGAAAATTTGAACAGCCTGGAGCCTACGTTGACGTTGGGTCACCTACTTTGCAAGTTTTTGTTTCAATGTAGTCTGCAGACCTGTTCAGTTCTTTTTCCTTGGACGAGGTGGGATATGCATCCTGAACAATCCTTCTGAGCTCAGATATACCAAGCCATCTCAAAGACGTTATCGGAAGCTCGTTGAGCTACGTGCGCTTTCCGGGGCTTGAAAGCGCCGTTCGAGATAGTATCTAAGTAGAAGCCTTTACGGCTCATATCTACAGGTCGGAAAGATATGACCAACTGATACGTATCCGCGGATACGTTCGTGTTTCTAGTAAACGTGTAGCTTAGCAATGGGATCATCCGTACATAGCATAGCGCCTGTCTATCTCTATGCGACTTGAAGACGAGCAATTAGCAGCCTCAATCTATCATGCCTGCAAGTGGCGCAGTCTCATTAGACGCGAAGGAACTGCTGTGCCACTTCCATCGAGTCATAATCATACTGCGCATGTCAAGCAGTGACACGGTGAAGAAACCACGACAGCCCACCCAACATAGCACAAAACATGTCTCGTCCCACCTCCAACATACTTCGCACAGCCCCCCTCCAACCTCGCTCATCCCCTCGCACCCCGCGTCACCAGAAAGGAAAATCGGCCAAACCGCCCGCCTGCCCTCGTCCCAATCTCCACTTTAACCTGACATGTTGCGGTCCGCCGCATGAACCCAGATCCCTACCGCACGCACATGGCTCCCCAGCGAGGCACCGCCAGCCAACCTAACCCCTTTTCCGCTGCAAGAAACACGGTACGCTAGATCCTTGGGGCCGATGCTACAGGGCGCTAAGAGGAGAGCAATGGTGTGGGCAGTGGGCACGGAGAGGGTCAAGCACAGGGTAGGTCAGGGCTCCTTCCCGCTGCTCACCGCTGGTTTGTTGGTGGAGGGAGGGAGGGAGAGAGGGGGGATGGTGCATGCATTGAGTTTTTCCTCTAAGCGCTGAGAGCTTGTGGGATGTAGCATGTGGAATTAGAATAGTGTTGTTACAAGGACGAAGGAATGGCGTGGTGTGGTAAGCATGCTGATAGCTTAGGAAAGCACGCCAACAGGGATAGCAACACGATCGGCCCATGCGGCGTAGTTCGTTGGCACTGGCAAAAGCTCAAATTCAAGGCAAGGCGAGGCTACTTGCTTCCCGTCAGGCGATGATGTGTGATGGATGTGTGATGGGAACGCAGATTTCGACACGCGAGCACACACACACGGCTCGGGCGGCGGAACTGATGGGGTCGCAGGCGTACGTGGCACATTTGACATGTCGGTTACAGCATGCCATGCGTGGTTGCAAGGGATGGCACGGAGGAAATGGGTCCAGGGTGGGAATCCTTTCTGCCGGGCGGACAGCGGCAAGCAACAGCACAGCACCTGGCTAAGCCAGCCAGAGGAAAAAACTGACTTGTGGAGGCGCGTCGTGTGCTTGCTCCCGAATGCAAAGCACGCGCAAAAAATTGCATCCGTGTGTTGTTGCCAAGGGTGCGCGACGGGCTGTGCGATGCGCAAGCAGGATCAGGATCAAAACTGCCTTGAACGCGCTTGAGAGTTTGACTTTCGCTATCGTACACCAGCGGAACCTTTTTTTCCATTGGTCAGCACTACATTTTCTCACTACAGCTTACACCAAGGGCTTCGGACTTGCTCCGTCCGAGATGCGATTGCGAAGCCCAGAGGAAGGAAGACAAAGAGCGGTACACTAACATGACTTGTACAAGGAAGGGAAAAGGTCAGGGCTCGCCCGTTGCTCGACTCAGTCTAGCCGGCTATTTGCGACATCGACATCCCGGCTCGAAACTTCTGCTCGCACCGTCCCGTGACGGGCAACGACTATTTAGCTTGACCAGGTCCGAATTCGGAGTTAGAGGGGGTTACCGAGCACGTTCGTTTCGTACAACAGCGATTGACCCTATAGACGTGTGAGGGATTACTATATTACGATCGGCTGAAAGCGAGTCGCATACTAGAAACCACCCCTGGTCCTGGCTGGCTTATGAGAGCAAGATAATTCTTGCTCGACTGAAACGCTGACAGGCTAATGTTGATTCGTGACATGCGGTTACCCACGATATACTTTTCCAGATTCGATTACATCGCCGCAACCCTGAACCATGGAAAAACGACCTGTCTGTCTGCCTGAAGGAAAAATTGAGTGGTGCGATATATGTCAGCTGAATAGTGTCCGTGTTGGCGGCCCAGGCAAAGAAAGTATGCGCGTCGAGGCAGGCAGACGGCGGTGCGCTAAATCACTTTAGAACCAAACTCGACCTTTTTGCTTTTTTGCCCTGCATGCTTTGGCAGTTCTCATGACGGAGTTGTCTCCCCTTGTGGCAGCGAATCAAACAGGTCCTGCCTGCTCGCACCGTTCCGTTAGTCAAGGTCGAGTTTGAACGGTACGCTATAGCGGCCAAACCATGCAACGGCCAGCGTGTCAATAGCCAGTAGATGTGAGACATGCGAATGGCCAAGCCCTTCGTTCGTTAGGTCAACATCGGCGGAGTGCGATCCAGAACCTGCCCTCTGGTACGATGCTGCACCGCGCGGCAGCTTGAGGAGACAGAAGAGTAATAGAGCCTCTGGGTTCATCAGCTGATCAAGTGGTATCGTGGTACGCTAGAAATCTAGAGCCTCAACTGATGTCTGGTGGCATTTGGTGCAAGTGCATAGTACCATCGAGCCATCATCGGACGATGGTAGTCCACCCTGCGTCTGAGCCGCGAGACACAATCATGATAGTGGTAATGGTGAAATCATGTTGACTACATCGTGCATGCCAGGACGCGCCGTACCGCGAGATGACAGACGGCGACGTTCTAGTCGACGGGCTGAGATGATTCCATTTGGCTTTCTACCGTGGAACCCATCACGTCCCGTGCCGATGTAGTTCGAGACTGACAGATCGAAACTTGCGTGGTAGCAGCGCTCCGGCTCGCCGAGACCCCGAGGCCGTACCGTGGTAGAAGTGCTGTGCGGTGCCTTTCCGTGTGGGCGTAATTGAATTATGCACGTACACCTGTCAGGCAAGTGTCAGTGAAGACTTGGTATGGTAACGGTACAATCGATACCAAAACAAAGTCCGCCCCATGGGATCAAGATCGGGGCGTGGAGGTGGCTGAATCTGGTTGACCTTTGTTTTTGGATGGAACGTGTTGCCCTGGAAAGGAAGGTGCAACACGTGCGTACCCGCTCTCGTGTACCTACCATCGGCTGCCCTGCGTGGCTTCTCGTGCGTAACGTGCCATGTGATTTGCATGTCAAAATTTATCACTGGCACGTGTCTTGGCAATACCGTCGTACAAGGGGCAGGCTGGTTGGCACTGCAGGCAGGAGCGATGGGTGAGCATGACAGATCGACCTGGGCATCAGAAGTGGTTCGACGGGTAGGATCAGCTCGGAAATGCGGCATTGAACATGAGCACATCAGCACTGACGTGCTCCAAATGCAGTGCGCCGTTCATCAAGGCATGCAGAGGGTCGAGCAAGTATTGCACCAGCGAACGTCTCCAATTTAGATAGCTAGTAAAGAAAAAAGGAGACTACGTACAAGACGATGCGCGAAACGTTCGCTTTCTCAAAGTGCTTTGCGATTTAAATCAGATTGCCACCCACCAGTAATAGTTCCCATATAGACTTTCAGATGCGGTAGAGACAGGCCGAGAAGGGGAATACCGCGAAAAACCAGCGTAAAAACGTACGATAGGAAAGAGGCACCAAAAAGCACAAGCGACCACTACCCCAGCCAATATGCAGCGAAGCACATGAATGCCGGACCCAACCCACGCTACGATGATGCAAATATCAACGAAGCCTCCATGTGATGATGCAACCCCAGTTCTAATGTTTGCGGGAAAAGACAGAATAACCACCCAGTGTAGTAGTTTAGGTCACTCGAGATGGAAGACCGGGAGAGACAGTAGGATGATCCGTGAGTATTAAAGTAGAAAACGTTGAAAGATCTTTGTCGCTCTTGAAGATTCAGATAGCCGCCCAGAAATCACGCTGTTGCCAGCCAGAACTCCTTGCGATAGCAAGCGTCGATTGGACGCGAAGATAGATTGTACATTGGAAAGCAGAAACGACGGCTGACAGATTCGATGGGAAATTTTGCTCTTTGCTCTTCGCTTAATCCGAAATGTGTAGCGCTCTCGAAAGACCAGCTCCAGAGCGTCTC